AAAAAAAAAAAAAAAAAAAAAAAAAAAAAAAAAAAAAAAAAAAAAAAAAAAAAAAAAAGAAAATCGTCATTTATTTTCCAACACCAATTTCATAATCACAAATGTTTCACACTTTTATTTTTTCGCCAAATACCATATCGCTGCTGCATAACTATGACATGAAATATTAATTACTAAATTTGTTAATTCTTACGATTATACAGATATGTACATTTTTCTTTTACAATAAAGGCTTTATAATATAATTTTTATGTCTGAATACTTTCATTCCAAATTTATGTTACATTTTTCATAGAATAAATTATTGTGGTATGAAACTGTACGTTGTATGAATATTTTAATGTACATTTTAAGTATATTGGAATAGCATTAGGACAAGTAAAGAAACTGAGTAACAATTGATTGTTTATTTAACAAATCCATTATTTTGTAGATACAAAATTTAAATTGTATAAAAGTATTACATTTTTAAGTTCTTTCAATATAAATCCCCACATCCTGTTAAGAGAACCAAGATAACTACTCAGCCTGAGAAAAACCTCCTTTTTTCCCTTATTTACCAGCATACACTACGATTCCTGCACATAAAGAACGTGATAAGGATTAAACAGTAATACACCATATTTTAAATTTTGTCATAGCTTATAATTATTTTAACAAAATTACAACAAAAAAAGTGAAAAAAGAAGAACTTGGTTTTGTTATGTTAAGACTGCAATTATCACACAGTTTTCAGTAAGGTCAGGACACCTCAATGTATATAAATATTAAGTGTTTTGTTTTTAGATAGAAATTATTTGTGATTATTACGAAAACATAAACAAGAAGATAAAAAAATAGCTAATCATTTAAGTACAGACATGGAAAAAAGTTTTCCACTATTGCTTAAAAGCTCAGGCATAAGATCATATGGAGTTTCTAATTGATAAGTCCTCTTCTGACAAATACATATATCACAACAAAACATAGCTGGATTTTACGCTTATTTAATCTGAATTATGTGTATTTGTGTTTGAAGTACGAAAGTTATTGACTTAAATATTGGGCACATGAATCTACTTTGTAACTTGGTGTTTAAGTTATAAATATACATATTAGTGTGTCAAATATCGCTCGTTTTAGTTACATGATAGTGTGGGCTTTCATTACTTACAGTTGTACGTAGAAATGATTTATCAATTAATCGATCTTATCATTGCTCATTTCTATAGTACTCAAAAAATTATTTTAATGCTGTTAATTATAATTTATAAGTATATATTCATTTTTATGATAGATACGTGTAATGAATAATGATATTGAGTATACTCTTATTTACATTTACAACCTTATTATCTACTCTTTTGAGTCTAGAACACATGTTGATAAAGTTTTGAACATCAGAACAACTCTAAGCATTTTAGTACCTTTTTTTCGAAGATACATATGTCAGCTCTATGCATATTCTAGTACACTGCTCTTTAATAGTGTTACAGTACATATTGGATCTTGCAGTGGTCATAGTAGGACTCACTTGTGAGCACTAGTGATGCGATGTACTCAAAAAATTTCTTCGATGCTATCGGACTGTCCCACAAGTGCCATAGAACTAGACTCCATCTGCCACATGGTAGGCAAGAGGAGAGAGGCCCCCGCTACCAGAAATTTTATTGAATCCTTGACTATTTTTAACTATCTTATTTTTACAGTTAACTTTGGATGGCCTAAGCTGCTAATCATCAAGTGGACAAAATGTTTTGCCTGGTTAAGAATCTAAGTAGATATAATTTAATTTCTGCGTGGTATTTTTTTATGTTAATAATTAGTTTATCATGGACAAGTAATAATAACGGTGTGAATAATTTTTATTGAATAACATTATTTTTGATATTACTCGTAACGTTAAAAGAGCTTTGGACGATCTAAGGAATTGTGATGACTAAATGACTTCTTTATTAATTATTTATTATTTTGGAATTAACTGAAGTGGACTGAACAATTAAGAGAGGCTTGAATTACCTTTTGCATCGATACTGGAAGAGTAAGTACGAGTTTGAGGCCAAAGCAAAGAATTACATAATACTTTCACTTAACTAAAATGAAAAATGCGTATACATAACAGCAAAATTGAGTGGATTTACCACAATACTTATTAAAATACATTGGTGTCACTAAACGGAATAATGTATTATGCTGATAAAGTGAAATAAAGTGGTAAGTAACATTAGCGATAGCAAATGAAATAACAAATGACGTTGGCTAATAATTATTGTATAAACAGTTTTTAGAAACTGTTACAAACTCTTAGTGGATTAAAATAAAGTTGTAGTAAATCACGATACTACTGCAGAACTAGTGATTTAATAGTATATTTAATCACTCCAGAGAACTCAATAATGAGTTACACTGGGTGAGCGATTTCCGCAAACAGGTGTACGATGGCAGCGCACAAAATAAGCCAAGTGGGTACGAGCTCAAGGTGCACAGCGATGGGTACCAATACAGGTCTGTAGTTTGCAAGTTATCAGATACAATTTATATTAATTTTAGCACACTTGCATACAAACAGTAAAAGTATAAACCTTCTGATTTCCAAAAAACTATCGCATTGGTGTGCTGTTATTAAATTATAAAGTATACTAGTGTTAAAACCATATTGTTCTACACCCATAGATTTCTTTATATTCCATAATCCTAAATCGAATCAAATAGAACAAAATAACTTTGTGTAATATTTATTGTACCATAATTTAATGAATCTAATAATTTTATTTGTCACTTTTTTTTAATACATGATTTGACTCATTGAAAACTTCTTAAAATTTCTAGAGTTTTCTTATAACAATACAACTACCATCAATCATTGTCATACATTTCAAATTTTTTAAGTTGACCTGCAATGTAACAACTTCTAGGAGAAAATCGTGTTCGTAAAAACAAAACCTGTTTTTAAATACACTTACCCTATTTTAATGATTTTCAGGTTGCCTTTATGTATTACCAGCAGTAAGAATATTAAGAATCAATTTCTCTAGAAAAATAACAATTTTTCATTGCTTTTTTTTTCAGTGAAATAGAAAAGTATATCTAAGCCCTGATTAATGTCACTAAAAACGTATCTGAAGTGTAGACAAGAAGAAGACTAAGAAGACTCTATTCATTTATCCTTCTATTCCTTTGGTTTTTGAAATTTTAAACAATTAATAAAATTAATATAATTTTTTTATCTACTTGTGCATGTTTACGCTTCAGAGGTTCGTAATCTAAATAATGAGTGAAATACTTTTGCTTTCTCATCTGCATACGAATTTCAAAAATGGTATGGTGATCTGTCAAGGGTAATTAATGGGTGCTCATAAATTAATACTAAATTAATTTAGCAGAAACATTCCATGTACTCTTCCTTCAAGTAGTATAAAAAAGTAAATGACAACTGTGCATATACCATTTACTCTCTTGAATTAATATTACGTGGCCCTAAAGAAGTAATACAGGTCAGTGGATGATCAGGGGATTGTGGAGGTATTAATAGCTTGGGATATTTTTCTTGAATACGTTGAATAACAGAGAACACAGGCAATTTACTTTTTATTTGGTAGAAATTCCCAAGATGTTATGTAAAGCGGTAGAGGGTAGCAGGCAAAAATAGGTACATTCGTAGATATTCCCACTAAAATAATTGTACAATACAGCAAAATACACGTGAAATTATATTCAAAATCTGAGAAGAAAATGCATTGATACATACCATGCTTCAAAAGATGTTGTTTTGGATGAATTGTCTTTGTTGTTCTAAATGTTCGTTTCCAAAAATATTTATCTCTGGCTGTGTAATAAGCATTTATATTGTTCCAGGTATAAATTATTGGAATTTTACTATTGACAGCATTATCAATTTTTGTTTTACCTTGATTACATAAGCTGCTTCTATTATAATAACAACTAGATGAATTTTCAGAGGAATTTTCTTCCTGTAATAAATAAAAGTACTTAAAAAAACCAATTTTTTTCTTTATTTGATTCGGGGTCAAATAAGTTTATAAAATGAAAATAAGATTATACTTTGCATGATGCCTTCTTGTATAATCTGGTAAATGGCTTTTTTTTTAAATCAAACGGAAATAAGAAATAATTCTTATTCTAAAAAATGATCAAAACAAATTTTTAGACATTTTGTGTTTTTATTTGAATTTTCATAGGACTCCTGTAATACAGACTGTATATACACCAACACCTTAGCACACTCAAGCATACATACTCGCATACATCTCTATAAACTATCGCAGACATGTTTCACTAGTGCCTATTGATAAACATTTTGATGCACAACTCATTATAACAGTGAATAACTGATACATTTAAATACATCTTATGCTCTCCGTTTCAAGTGCACACCCAAGCTCGCCATTGATAGGCTCGCGGTCAATCAACAAGCGAGTGGCAATGGGCAAAGTAACTACGACATGACGGTTTGGCATCTCTCACACTGCTTTCCAGCTCTCTCTTGCTTTACAATTTGAACCAAAAGCTTCTCTGCCTGCAGCTGGTAAATGCTTGGTCTTCTTTCAAGTTCTAAACTCTCTACAAGAGACTTCCCACCACTCTTATTAAATCAAGACTCAGGACATCGCTGTCGAGACTCTCATTCTTTTGTTTTACATTTTATCTTACACTTAATTTTTTTAGCTCAATAATCTCATCATCTGCGCGCTTCATTTTTGAATAATTCATAATTATTGACACCTCCTACATGTGCTGCATCTCGGCAACTTTTGCATCTCTTCTTCAATTCATTACTTTTCTGTTAACTTCCTGCTTATCTCTTATATTTTTTCAACCGCAGCATGTCAACTCCGTCATTGCTAGCTTGTTCTACATCTCTCTCCATCCCACGTTTATCTTTACATCAACTTCAGTGTCAAGAACTGGTAACCTGACGGTCTCTTTTCTAGTACGCTCATAACCATTTTATTGCTTCTACCATCTGGTGACCAAATTTCTTTTATGATCAGTCTCGAATTTTCCATGTACACTTCTATTGTCATCTTAACATTGAATTCTCTCAATTCATTGACATTCAACTATTTCTACTACAAGTCTCACCTAATATACCTCTATCATACTCTTCTCAGTGCATTTCGCCATCCCACCATTTTCATCCACTCCACTTCGTTTCTCATTCCAAAATCAGAGTCCCTAATCAAATACGCTACTCGTATCAACTGTCATAACTGGGCTACCGTAGGTGGTAGTTTAGTTTTATCTTCCAGGTGTTGACTCATTTTTACCAGCCTTGCGCTGACTTGGGCGACCAAGCAGGGCCTGCCAGTTTGCAGAGGAGATCCATTCCTCCGTCGTTCTTGCTAAAATTCACACACTGGCAATCGTTGCCACCAGATCCTACCTCACACTACCACACGTATACATGGTGACACAACGTATGGCTATTAATATTTCACTTACTAAGATTATAGCTTGCTTGATTTATTCGTAATTGTACGTACTCCAAGTCACCTTAATAAATCTGGACTTCTCATTCCACTGGCTTTTTTTCATACGTTCAGTTGTATTTAATTGCATTAACTTCCTTCCCTTTTTAGTTGTTGATCCAAGTACAAAAGATTTGGATTCATTCTTATATATTAATTGTATTTTCTTGTATATTAAATCTTTTTTTTTCGTGAGTTTTTTTAATTTTTTTATTTTTATCTTATTTTTTTGTATTGTTTTATTTTTTTAACACATATTTCAATTTTTGGTCAATTCCTTTACTATTTTGTTAACTATTATTTTTTTAATTGGGACAAGCAATTCACGTTGGATTGACTATGTCTACATGCAATAAGTTGGTACTTTCTTTGAGATGTGAAGTTTCATTGCCTCATCAGTGCACACAGCCTAATAACTGCTTGAAATAATAATTTACGAGGGGCACTAAGAAAATCTTATTTCATGAAAATAGTCAACATTTCACCCTTCACAATCTTATATCATCACAGCCTTAACTGATTTGAACTTCTCAGTAAAACGGTGGTGGGAGCAAAAATTTACAACATTTACTGTCAATAATAACATTATACAAAAATTTCAAACATGTTTCAGAACATAGAAGCATTTTAATGGGAATGAAACATCCACGCTTGCTCCTGATTTGATGTTCGTTCAGATTTTGTATGTGTGTATGTAAATATCTTCTACCATGCTATATATATAGTATATACATTCCATATACTATACCAGGTGCAATGTATCCAATAGAATTTGACTCTAACTAGGTCAGTGTTGCTCGGATACTTACGGTGACACTAACATGTTAAATTATGTTGGTCGTGTTCTTTATGGCATTATGGCTACCAGGAGACACCGTCACTCATCGCTTCTTCTGACGATAAACAATATAAGCTGGAGGGAAGCAAAGAACACTTAAATAATGATGTTGACGTGTAACTTTTCTTAGAGAGATAATAAAAAATATGTAATAAAGTACTTATTAACATATGGCAAGCACGTAATGTCGACGAGATCATAGTGACAGGTCGTGACGTGGTCAAACACGCTTGGACTACTTTGGGACCGCTGCTTTTTATAACAACAATAGAAAGGGATGCTTAAGCTGGATGCTTTTTTAACCAAAACAATATTACCAGTGAATCAGTTCAGTAGACAACTTTGCTAAATTGCAGCATTAGTGTTTTCAACATTTTTTTTTGGTTAATGGGGGATTTTCAACGTGCCACATAATTCAAGCATAGGAATGGTTTATGGTTTCAATTGTAATAAGCGTCACTTTGAAACTAAAAGCTATATCTGTCCAATATTACGGCTTTTTTTCATAAAGATATACGTGTATAAAAGAACTGTAACTAACCTAACTTGCATCACCTAATCTATGTGGCTATATGTTCGTAAAATCTTGAATGATTACAGTACCTTCAGCTATTACCACGTTTAAGAAAAAAAAGTTTAAAATCTATTGTTATTAGACGAGGCCTTACAAAAATTTGAGCAATTAAAGATGAAGCAAGATGCTTAACATTTTTTTTATTTTATTAAATCATCTTTACACAGAAAAAAGAGTTTTTTTCTTGCATGCAACACAAAATTTTAATAGTTTTACGTATTTGATTCTTATTTATAATGAATTTTCATTCGTTAATTTTTCTGGCACATCATTTTTCATTTTGTTTTAATGAATTTATTTAAATTTTAATAATTTCCATGACTTTACTTGCTGTGCCATTTTCCGATGTTAGTTAATTCATCATTTTTTAAATGATTTTTGTTGTTTCTTGCACTGAAATTCATATACGTCTTATTAAAATTATTAAAATATTTTTTGTATGGTATATAAGCCATTGTTAATGTCACTAAAAACGTATCTGAAGTGTAGACAAGAAGAAGACTAAGAAGACTCTATTCATTTATCCTTCTATTCCTTTGGTTTTTGAAATTTTAAACAATTAATAAAATTAATATAATTTTTTTATCTACTTGTGCATGTTTACGCTTCAGAGGTTCGTAATCTAAATAATGAGTGAAATACTTTTGCTTTCTCATCTGCATACGAATTTCAAAAATGGTATGGTGATCTGTCAAGGGTAATTAATGGGTGCTCATAAATTAATACTAAATTAATTTAGCAGAAACATTCCATGTACTCTTCCTTCAAGTAGTATAAAAAAGTAAATGACAACTGTGCATATACCATTTACTCTCTTGAATTAATATTACGTGGCCCTAAAGAAGTAATACAGGTCAGTGGATGATCAGGGGATTGTGGAGGTATTAATAGCTTGGGATATTTTTCTTGAATACGTTGAATAACAGAGAACACAGGCAATTTACTTTTTATTTGGTAGAAATTCCCAAGATGTTATGTAAAGCGGTAGAGGGTAGCAGGCAAAAATAGGTACATTCGTAGATATTCCCACTAAAATAATTGTACAATACAGCAAAATACACGTGAAATTATATTCAAAATCTGAGAAGAAAATGCATTGATACATACCATGCTTCAAAAGATGTTGTTTTGGATGAATTGTCTTTGTTGTTCTAAATGTTCGTTTCCAAAAATATTTATCTCTGGCTGTGTAATAAGCATTTATATTGTTCCAGGTATAAATTATTGGAATTTTACTATTGACAGCATTATCAATTTTTGTTTTACCTTGATTACANATTTTTTAAATGATTTTTGTTGTTTCTTGCACTGAAATTCATATACGTCTTATTAAAATTATTAAAATATTTTTTGTATGGTATATAAGCCATTGTTAAGTTGCGCAATCGCTGTAAGTTCATTATTTTATTTTATATGTAATTTTGGTATACTGAAGGTCACTTTAATTTTGCTTACTTTTGCACTACTTGACATACTTTCTGACGAGGATTTTTTAGCCAATAAACAGCCATCCAGGTCCAGTCACAAAAATTCTCTCGTGCATCTATTACCCTATCTCATTACACTCGATTCCTCTGCTCTAGGAGGTCTACCACTGGTGTCCGGCTTGGGATTGTCAAATTCTAAAGGAAATTAAGAAGTGAAATCTGGGGGCACTAATTACAAATAAACCCAATCACTGATATAAATTTAACAGTGCGCCCACGCTCTTTACTCGTTTTCTACGCACTCTTAAATATTACACACTTTCTTTCTTTCTTTTCACTATAAATATGAGCATTATTACACGGTATCTTCCAGATCAGTATGACAATCGATGTATGTGTTACAGTCATCCTCACTGTCAAACTTCTCTTTGGCTTGGCTGTCGGAGGCCC